TGTATGTCATAGTTGCACATCCTTCTAGTTGCTGTATGTGGGACGCGGCCTCAGCATGGCCGGAGAAGCGGTGCGACAGTGCGCGCCCGGGATCCGAACCCCGGCTGCCAGTAGCAGAGCGCGCACACTTAACCGCTAAGCCACGGGGCCGGCCCTCTTTCATTTTCAACTGCTGTATCCTCCCTTATATTTCATGATGTTTTGCTCATCACAGAGAGAGCTCTAGGCTTACTCACAATGGGAGGTGAGAAGGGATTGGTGAAGAGATTGTGTGAAAAGCTGTTAAAATCTCCCAGGATCAGACAAAATGAGAATGGGCAAAATTTGATTTCTCCTAGTTTAAACTTGCTGGACCTTAGGTACAATAGCTTGGGTAGAATACGATGGGGCCAATGACCAAGGGCAGTTTTTGCAGGAAGACTTGTTGTATATATATATAAACATCTTTATTTTCTCTGAATTATTGTGGCAACTGAAAAGTAGGACACATTCTTTAATGCTCCCTCTGAGTTAAGGCAAAGGCTTGTTCCAAGGGAAAGTCAAGAGCAAGAACTCCACTAACGTCCCCACTCTGTGCACTTTATACTTACATTTCCCAGAGCTGCTGTTGCATTTAAGATTTACCCTCCAAACCCTGCTTCAGGGTCCTCCAACTCAGCTCTAGGACTCGCTGATCTTGGTTAAGGATGTTTACATGCTTCAACCAGCATTTTTCCTTTGACTTATTTGGCAGGCTGGTCCTTTTCATCCAGTGAATATCTCACCAGGTTTCACATGTATCACCTCCAGCAGGAGCATGGTGCCCTCCCCTGTTCATAATACAGAAACAGATTGCTCCTTCTTTTTTACATTCCTTTGGTCGTATGCCTGTGTTCAACCAACATCTCTATCCAGAAGTCCTACTGCTTACTTCTGAAGTACAGGTAGCAGTAGTCCACTCTGCCTACCTAAGACAGGGTCAGAGACTGACATTACTGTTCTGGGACTCATATTCCAGAGATAGTGCTCCCAACTCACCCTTCATTGCAAGAAAGATTAACTGTTCATCCAAACTGGGTATCTGTGTTTATATGCACCATGCCATTGAAGGGTTCTGGAGGAGTTCCTCATGATTTTCCTACAGGAAAGAAGCAAAATTTGGGACAAGGTGTAGAGTTCAACTTGTTCTTAAGATTCGGACTGGAGTGTAGCATACAGAACAGCCTGTTATACTTCAGATTGTTTCACAGAATTGACCACTTTGAGGAAATTCACCATAGAACCTCAGAATCAAGCAGATACAGAGCACGGCTTTAAAAAAAAGAGTTCCATGCTCCTAGTAAAGGTCATTTATGGCTAAAGAATTGTTTTCCCATCTCACGGGCTGCTGAGCCTAGTGCTGGTGTCACTCAGGAGTCCAGCACAGGCATTGCGGGGCGGTTCATCTCCAGTGTCTTCCCCACTCCTGCAGTCATGAAGACTGCAAGCCACCAGAGGTGCAGGAGAACAAAACAAGTTACCCCAAACCACCCGACCCTTTGCATTACCAGTCATGTCCCTTGTCCACCCAAGTTTAACATGTAAGCAGTCAGTAACATCCCAGTTCCATGCAGAAATGTTGCCTAGGATCCCCCCACGCCCAGCAGTGCTGCTCATAATGAAGTTCAAGAACAGAATGAGATGAGAGTCCAGCTATGGAACAGGCGGCAGTGGGCAGAGGAGCAAGAACACAGACTTTGGAGTTAGACCTGGGATCTACACCAGTCGTTAGTCCTGTGACTCTGGAGAAGTTTCTGAACCACGTTAACGATCAGTTTCTTCGGCAAAAATGGGAATAATACCTGCCTCACAGGATTATTGTGAGAATTAAAGAGGACAACCTGGTGTTCAAAGTTTATTTCCTTCTCTTCCCTAGTCAGCACATACTGTTATTTCCAGGAGCCATGAAAAATATAAGCCTATATCTGGAGGCCTAAAGAATTGGTAGAGAACCTGAAAGATACAGACTCTACTGTGTGTCTCTTCTTTCTCTTGGGTATGGAATCAGAGGAAATACAGTCATGTTTTCTTAGCTTCAAACAACCAAAAAGATGATGCAATTTGGAGATGGGAAACCAAATTTGAACAGTTTACAAATCTTATTTTCAGGAAATTTTGAAAACAAAACTCAATTCTGTGTTAGAGGATTATCTACTTAATCTTAGGACACCTGTTTTTTTGTGTCAAACCAGAGGTGAAATAAGATTGCCAGTGTTCTGACACTTCCATATGGCCGGGAAGGAGTCCATGGTCTTTCTGAATAGGGCACGTGGACGCGTTGCCCTGGCCAGCTGAAACTCACCTTTGTGGAGAGGCTGGAGCCTCACAGGCAGAGAGGGTGCTGCTTTCTTGATGAAGTCAGTAGTATCGGAAAACAGTTTGCATACTGTGAACTGTTTTACAAAGAAGTGCAAAACTAATTTAAATTTAACGCATGTTAATAATAGCTTTGCTTCTGCTTGTTCTTAGATGCCCTGGAACATTCAGCTGCTGTAGCAGCTCAGCTGAAATCAGACTTGCCATTTGCTCTGTCAAGGTGTAGGACCCCTAGGAGCAACACAGGCAGACCGATTTCTTGATTTCTTCGGGTGTTCAGAGTCTGTTTTTGTCTAGTACCATTTGAAATCTGTTACAACGTAGGAGGAAAAGCAACAGCCTCGAAGCCTCATGCCAAGTCTGCTCAGCAACCCCCTGTGGTTTCCTGGAAGATGGATGCGCAGAGAGTGGGGAAGGAAGATGACGGTTTTTCCTACTAACTTCTTTAACTGAGTTTATGATACTTTATTGGAGAGGTAAGAGATAATTTAACGGATTTTTTTAAAACAAATCACTATAATTTATCTGATGTCCTCCGTTGCATTTTGCTGAAATGTGGTGGTGCTGTAAGTTCTATAAATTAGTTGCTGTTATCTTTCTGTTAAGAGAGCCTGTTCATGTATGCTGACCTTAATAAAAGTTTTACTGTATTCTATTTATTGCGTCTTTGTTTTTCTTCTGTTACTTTCCATTCATAATTCTATGCTAATGAGAAGTGGGGTCCTGAAAAGTTAATTTGCTATGCAGATCTTACCTACTTCCTGAAGAATTTGAGGTAGGTTACAGCAGACAGACATTAAAAATGAAGCCCATTAAGACAAAAATGAAATTCTTTTATGAGCCAAGAAATAAAATCAGAGAACAGATTACAGAAGAGAGAAATGTTGAAGACCTGGGCCGAGGGATGCTCCTTCTTGAAAGGGAAAACTGACATCAGTTCAAACGGGCCGCAGCCCTGGCCCCTCCGCAGTCGGTGTTCCTTTGAGAAATATTTGCTTAACTGAACATACTGTCATGTGGCCCTTAAAGGGAGCAGCCCGAGGATTTCAGTTGCGTTAAGAGATGCAGTTCTACTTTTGGCTGTTAGTTTCTATCAACCTTGAAGACAGGGTGAACCCGTTCTGTAAAGGTTCACAGAGATTAGCCAGACTGGACGTCACAGGGGATTGGACTTGGGGAATCTTCAGGGAGGGCGGCTGTGGCCCCTGACGGAGCTTTTAGCACAGGAGATGCGTGGCCAACCGTGAACTACCTGCAGTGCTTTGATTTCACTCCCGTGGTTCTCAATAAGCGGCGGCCACTCAACCACCTGGGAAGCTTTTCTAAGTCCGCATCCTGCCAGTCTTCCCCCAGATGCGGCCCTGCCCAGTGGGGTGGGGGGGGGGGCGGGTGAAGCATCTGCTGGGAAAACTTCCCAGTGAGTGAGATGCGCCCCCTCTCTGTGGCCGCAGTGCTATTTCAGGCTGTTGACCGAAGAATCCATGTTCTCATCCCCAGGATGTGCTGGTGGGAATAGTTAAGACTCTAAATTGTTTTACTTCTCTGCTGAGGTAGGTCACAATAGGACCTATGAGTTGTAACGAACTGAACAATTATTAATTCATCTACCGTGACCCAAGCTCCAGCCCAGGTATTGCAAATACAACAAAAAAGACATGGATTCTGCCAGGTACAGCTGATTTCAGTCCCCAAATGAGTAAGTGCTAGAAGATCACGTTTAGCATTAAAGCACAAAAACAATGACTTTAAATATCTTTTCCATAAAAGTAGTTTCTGGTGCTCCCACTAAATGCTTCATTTTAAACAGTCCACGTGTCTAGGTCATGAGAAGAGAATGCAGCCCCCGAGGAACTGAGGTGCCCCTCACACAGGAATATTTGCTTTATTCATTGGAGGCTGACAGCCCTTTCCCTAAAATTGCCATTGTGAGGTTCTTCATAACAAATTGTAACCAGAATGTTTCTTCTGGAGACATCTTAGATCTGGTTTCGAGGCCGTGCTTTCAACCTAGACAGAAAATGCGTGGTCAGGCCTGGGTCCCGCCTGCCTAAGTTGGCCACATACTCAGCTGTAAATGTGTAGTGGAGAGGGAGTGTCAGACTGAGGGCACGCCTCACGCAAGTTGTACTAGCAAATAATTCCCATGTGTGGACATCAATGTCGATGAGTGCTTAATAAATAGGAGACAACTCAAATCTTTGACCAATTTAGGTGAAACACAACATGTTAGGTCTCGAACTTGGTAATTCTTCAGGTAAGATGTTGGCCCAGGCCTGCATTTTGAGAAGATGGCGTATAGTTTCAGGGGGTTCCTCGCAGACCAGTGTGTTCCTATTTGGAAGAAGCTTTAGAGTTTTCGTTGACACAAGAAAAGTCATATTTTGGGTTTATTCTAATGCACTAGTGTTCCACCCTACCCTCCGATTAGATTCACTCAAGGAGCCTCTGAATTAGTGATTCTTAGGAATCCCAGCCCTACAAGTTCTGGTTTAACTGTTCCAGGAACGGGGCCTGGACATTACTTGGTGGTTTTAAAGTTTCCCCAGGTGATTCTAATGTGCAGCCAGGGTTGACAGCCACTCCTCTATGGACTGGTTTCTAGGAGGCGTTACTACTCCAGGTGTGGTCTGAGGACCCCTAGCATTGGTGTATTAGTTTCCTGTGGCTGCTGTAACAAATTACAACAGACTTGGCATCTGTCTTAGTCTCTTCGGGTGCTGTACCAAATACTGCAGACTAGTCAGCTTACAAACAACGGACATTTATTTCTCTCAGTTCTGGAGGCTGGAAGTCCAAGGTCAAGGGGCTGGCAGACTCGCTGTCTGGTGAGAGCCAGCTTTCTGGTTCACAGACGTGCCTTCTAGCTGTAACTTCATTCGGCACAAGGAGGTGAGGGACTTTCGTGGGTCTATTTTATAAGGACACTGATCCCATTCATGAAGGCTCTGTGCTCCAGACCTAATCAATTCCCTGTGGCCCCACCCCCTGTCATCCTGGGGGATAGGATTGCAACACAGGAATTTGAGGGGACACAACCATTCACACCATAACAGTGTCTCAAAACAACACACACTTAATCTCATAGTCCTGGAGGTCAGAAGTCCAAACTCAGTTCCACTGGGCTGAAATCAAGGTATTGGGCTCCCCCCAGAGGTCACTAGGAGAGAATCAGTTTCCTTGCCTTTTCCAGCTTCCAGAGCTGCGTTCTTTGGCTTGCGGCCCCTTCCTCCCTCCTCAAAGCCAGCAGCGTAGCATTTTGCTTTAGCAGTCACATTGCCTTCTGCTGTGGTCACATCTCCCTCTGCCTTCCTCCTATAAGGATACTTGTGATTACATTAGGACCCCACCTGGATAATCCAGGGTACTCTCCCAATCTAAGATCTCACCTGCAAAAGAGCTTCTGCCATATAAGGTAACATTCACAGGTTCCAGGCATCAGGACTCAGATATCTGGAGGCCACGATACAGCCTACCACAAACAGCAGTATGTGGAACTAGAAATGCAGACCCTCGGGCCCCACCTGAGACCTGCTGAATCAGAATCTGCATTTTAACAAGATCAGCAAGTGTTTCACCTGCATACTAAAATTTGAGAAGCATGGTTCTATTGGATCCGACCCAGGGAATTCTCAATAATTGACTCCCACGTCAAGTACAAACTGAAGGAGTATTTTCTCTAGGAGCCTTTTCAGGTGGCGGTGGGTGATCAGATGACTGATCCTTTTCCTGAACACTATAAATAAGTGCTCATTTAAACAACAGTAGTCTCCAGAATTTGCAATGAAGCCACAAGCCCTAAGCACCAGGAGGCCAGACCTCTTGTTGGTTGCTGATGGTTCAGCACAAGACTTGCCACTGAGACAGGTTGAATTAATAAACTACGATTTTCTTTGTAAATATAAGCCTTATCTTGTGTCCTTATAAGTTTATATGTAGAATTGGACTATGGGGCTTGAGAATCACCAATACAGAGGTTCTCAACCTTACGTGCACATTAGAATCACTTGAGAAACTTTAAAGACACCTTGAACCCAGGCCACATCCCAGATCAGTTGCATGAGAAACCTCTGGGAGGTGGGACCCAGGCAGCAGTAAAGCTCCCCGGGTGATTCCAATTGCAGCTGTGGTTCACAAGGCCTGATCTCAGAGGTTTAGTAATCTGATTTAATAAAATCTGCAAAGAGAGCAAGAATTTTTTTTTTTGTATAAACAAAAATGAATTTTATTGTTAGTGTGGAAATTAAATTTTATGCTTTATTGTCGGGACTTGTGTTTTTAATTACTTACCCATACCCCCACATTAAAGTGATGTGGAAGATATGTTTTCTGCCAGACACATGCATATAGATACTTAAATGTGGTTAACTCAAGGTTAGGTAATAACAGAGGCTATGAGCGCTGGGCAGAAATCAGGAAAAGCTTCACCGAATGGGCAGTATTTGAGCTGAGCCTTGGAAGACGCCCAGGATCTGGACAGGGGCACAGGTGCTTAAGGCAACAGCGAACCAGGAATACAGCCGAGAGCACAGGGCAGATGGTCTGGCTTGACTGGGAGCAGGTTATCTGAAGAAGGGGAGCAGAAAGAGAAGGCTGGGGAAGAACAGTTGGGATTGCATTGTAGAAAGCCGTCAAGCATCACGCTAGGAAACTTGGACTTCCTGCTGCAGGTGATGTGGTGTCACTGAACCTCTGAGTAGGAGAGGCACCTGCGGGGCTGGGAGTGGAGAAGCCCGGACATGCTTACGGCTCTGAGATGTGAGGGCAGGAGTAACGATTGTGGGAGTGGAAAGGTTAGAGAAGATTGGTCCCAATTAGAAGAATGCTCTGACTTTAGATAAAACACACTGGACATAAACGCATCATCACAAATGAAACTTCTCCAAACCTACATTTTATTTTACACCAGATTTGCAGATCCAATTTTCAAAAAATGAACAATAAAGACCACATACAGGGACTTCTCATTTCACTTGAAATACATTCTTGCAGTTTTAAGAAACTTTTAAATTCAAATATGCTTCTTTCCCTGTCATTTAAACACGTTTCTGAAGAAAATTAGTTTCTCTACATAGTTAAGTAATTGACAAACAGAACATAATTTATATTATCACAAATATATCAATCTCACAAATAAATATATCAAATTGAAAAAGCTAAATTTGAAGTGAAACTACTATAAAAGTCAATTTATTTTGGTAAGCGTAACTATCTTTGGTTGAAAATACTTTAAGTAGGCTTTAAAACGTAACCAGTACAGCCATCCCTTGCTTCTAAGCAAGTGCTACATTCTTGAAAAGTACGTGAAAATGGGTCCAGTAAAACTTCAACTCTATATTTAATTCAGAATTCCGGTTTATTTCTGCCTGAACTTATCTTCCTAAAGTACCTCATCAGAGATTACAAGGGCAGGAGCACTTACAGTGCAATACAGACATGTCTTTACAGAGTAAAACAGTATTTACTCCGGTCTACTCTTGAGTCCCCATTTCATATCCTCCTCAGGCAATGTTTCTTTGGCCCAATTTGTGCTACTAAATATAAAAGTTTAAAACAAAACTTGTAAAAATGTAATTTGAATTAGCGTGGTAGTCCCTCCTTTTCCCACTGGCTTATCTGAGAGAGACCCTGCCTGGTGTGAGGACTCAGAAGAGAGGGATCTATTCCACCTGAGCACAAAGAGCTACCTGAGCTGTGTTCCCTTTTTCAGTCCCTTCCTACGACCAACAGCAAACACACAAAGTTAAGTTTCCTTTTCTGAAATACATGGCTTTTAGCAGATGAGGTGAGATGCACACAAAGACTAAGATTCTGATACAACTGGAGGTTATCTGATGAATTTATTCTCGACAAAACTGCCTACTCTTAGATGACATGTTCAAAACAAGACATCGTTTTATTCAAGTAGGGACAGAAAACCACCTATAGCCAGAATTTAGAGTGGATTCTAATTCTCTTAAAGATGGAGTTCTCTTTAAGAAAACTACAAGGCCCCAGTGCTCATGCTGTACCACGGGCTGGCGTCTTGCTATGGGGGTTAGAGCTCTCTAACTTTTACAGAAGTAGCAACTGATTCTGAATCCTTACTGATTCCTTAGACTGGTTTATTGATATTAAAAAAGGTGAAGAAGAAACGCCATCCATAAACTTTATAGCTTCTTTACATCACCATGAAGTTACAAATAATGTTTTAAAAAATAGAATTTTAGCCTATTATCTTCAAGAGTATTTTCCAATAGTATTCTTCATTAAGGAAGTCAAACTTGTTCAAAATTCCAATTTTCAGTGTTCTTGTTTTTAAAGTTTAAGGTCTGAAGGAGTACAGACATATTTGTAAAGACTTTTTACAATAAACAATATATAAAACCAACTTTAGACTTGTTGAAAGAAGGAATCTTCACAGTTGGCATTAATCTTTGAACAAAAGAGATTTCAAAATCACTTTACAAATGAAATGTAATTTCATTTTGGACTATATTTCTCCAAATTTGGATATTTTATTAAAAAAATAATTTCCCCATCTTAATACTACCAGGGATTGTGTTAAATCCACCCATGTTGTCACAAATAGCAGAATTTCCTTCTTTTTTATAGCCGAATAGTATTCCATTGCACATATATACCACATTGTCTTTATCTATTCATCCATCAATGGACACTTAGGTTGTTTGCATGTCTTGGTTATTGTACATAATGCTGCATTAAACAGGGAGGTGCAGAAATCTCTTCCACATAGTGATTTAGTTTCCTTTGGAT